AAGCTGTTCGATGCCTATCTTGTAGAATTCCGTTCTATGCTAATCGAAGAAGGTGTCGATTTTGACATCACGATGGTTAGGATGAGGTTTCTTCTCTAGGACGTTTTGTGGAGAGGGAAGCAGTTGGGCATCCTTTGGCTCGAGGTCGGAGCTATGAGGTGACTGCGGAAGAACAAGAGTCCCTGAAACTCTTCCTGGATTTTTTTAGTAGGAGCTGCTTCAAGGGTGTCATAAAAAGCAAACTTTGCCTTGCTTTTCTTTTCCATTCAAAGCTTTTGCAAACATGCTGTGGACGATTGACTTACGCGTTGACTGCGATATCTACACGAAGGGTTTCCGAAGTCAACCCCTCCCGTATTCCACCAAAAAATCAAGAAGGCCCTTACTTGACGAGGTTGCACCTTGCAGGAAGCACTCCGTTTCTGACTAGACGTCGCCGTTTGCTATTGTGAGCCACACTTCCCACTCCTCAACGTTTGCAAATATGATGGATAGTCAATCAAGGAATCCATAGTAAGTCGACATGAACATGTCGTTGTCAGATCGTGTTCGAAGCTGATTCAGGCTCAAGGCATTTGGTATCCAACTCTATTTTCGGACCTTTACAAATCTTTGGAGATGCCACAGTGCTGTATCCTTGTTGCATCGAAATAGCTCTGACAAATGATTGATAGTCCATCCAGATCCCTTTTCAGCAGCTTCAGGTAGAGCATCTTGATTGCCGATCACGGGGTGGTTGGAGTGTGAATCATCTTTGAATAAAAAAGCCATCGCTGAGCAGAGTATAGCGTCGGTACACGATGATGGGAATCCTTGGTGTAGCACGACTTACGGAACATTCCAAGCAGTACTCGAAAATACTTAAGGGCACGAAGAGCTTCTCCGCGAAATCGGTGCACACAAGTAGCGAGACAACGAGCTGGATGGTTGGCTTGAATTGCAAAAGTGGATGCTACATAAGCAGACATGTTGCGAATTTTCTGGAGCTCTCACAAAAACTTTCTAGCATCAAATGTAGATTGTTGCAAGAGATTAGGACCCTAATAGCCTTTGCCCGAAATGACATGTTATGGCCATAAAAAGGCAAATTTTACCTACTTTCGTTTCAGTGGTTTCAAAATTATTCTGGACGTGGTTATTTCAGTAAGAACACATATCTTGCCATACGAATAGGTTTGTATTCACTTTCATTATTATCTTTTATGTACTTGTTCACGTCAATGAAACGGAACGAACTGAACACATTTTTGTAAGGCATTGAATCTGTGGGCCACGTGGTTTTCGAGTATGCTAAGAGCACAAAAGATTTGGGAAGAAGACGGGCATGTGAGGGAAAGATTGGTACCAAAATGCTGAAGCGCATGCGCGTCAGCCCTGTCGCTGGTAGTCAGTCGTTAAATGCTGGCTGTTTTTGATTGATATTACTTGCTTGACTCATTTATTAGGGCATTTCTTTGTTTGCACTGATTGATGCATTGTCTTTGTTGTATTGGGTGCAGAGCGATTGGCAGCCGCATCTTTTTGCTGGCACAACCAGCAATAATGCCGGCGAGATAGCTACTCCGGACAGGCGCGTCGATATGCCCTTCTCCGTTCATGTAAAGGGAAAGGGACCCCTCAGTTAAAAGCTCTTATCGATGTTTTCTTTGCTTTTCCCAGTTGCAGTGAATTGGACATCCACAATCTCATTATAGACTGCTTTTACCCCGCGAATCCGAACTATTAGGTCGGTCCATAAGTCTTGCAACAAATTACATTTAATGCTAGAGAATTTTGGGAGAACTCCAGAAAATCTCCGCAACATATTTCCTGACGTAGCATCAACCTTTGCAATTTCAGCCAACGGTCCAGCTCGTTGTCTGGCTTCTTATTATGGCTTGCTTATTTGTTAGCACACTGTACCCACTCCTCATCTTCGGCAAATGTGATGGATGGTCAATCGAAGAATCCATAGTAAGTCGACTTGAACATGACGATGTCAGATCGTGTTTGGAGCTGAATCGGGCTCAAGGCATGTGGGGACCAAACTCTATATTTTCGGATCTTCACAAGTCTTTGGAGATGCCACAGTGCTGTCTCCTTGTCGCATCGGAATTGCTCTAGCAAATGATCGATAGTCTATCCAGATCCCTTTTCAACAGCGTCAGGTAGAGCATCGTGATTGCCAGTCACGGGGTGGTTGGAGTGTGGATCATCTTCAAATAAAAAAGTCAACGCTGAGCAGAGTGAAGCGCCGGTGCACCGTGAATTGAGAGAGCGTGCCCTCGCCCATCTTCTGGCTAATCCTTGGTGTAGCATGACTTGCGGAACATTCCAAGCAGTACTCGTAAAAATTAAGGGCACGAAGAGCTTTTCGCGAAATCGGTGTAATACAAGTAGCGAGACAACGAGCTGGACGGTTGGCTGAAATTGCAAAGGTGGATGCTACGTCAGCAAACATGTTGCGGATTTTCGGAGTTCTCACAAAAATTCTCTAGCATTAAATGTAATTTGTTGCAAGACTTATGGACCATCCTAATAGAATTCGCCCAAAATGACATGTTATGGCCATAAAAAGGCAAATTTTACTTACTTTCGCTTTAGTGGTTCAAAATTATTTTGGACGTGGTTGTTTCAGTAAAAACACATATCTTGCCATACGAATAGGTTTGTATTCACTTCTATTATTCTCTTTTATGTACTTGTTCACGTCAATGAAACGGAACGAACTGAACACATTTTTGTAAGGCATTGAATCTGTGGGCCACGTGGTTTTCGAGTATGCTAAGAGCACAAAAGATTTGGGAAGAAGACGGGCATGTGAGGGAAAGATTGGTACCAAAATGCTGAAGCGCATGCGCGTCAGCCTGTCGTTGTAGTCAGTCGTCAATGCTGATTGTTTTTGATTGATATTACTTGCTTGACTCATTTATTATGGCATTTCTTTGTTTGTACTGATGCATATGTCTTTGTTTGTATTGGTGCATATGCGATTGCAGCCGCATTTCTTGCTGGCACGAGCCAGCAATAAATGCCGGCGGAGCAAGCTAGTTGGACAGCTCGTTCGACATGCCCTTCCTCCGTTTCAGAAGGGGAAAAGGGGAACCTTCATTTAAAAGCTCCATCGATGGTTTTCTTTGTTCTTCCCAGTTGCAGTGAATTGGGCATCCACAATCTCATTATAGACTGCTTTTGCCCCGCGAATCCGATCTACTGCTAGTGCTTAGTTCAGTAGTTGCTTCAACTTGTAGCGCTCTTGCCCGGTCCCACCAGAAAGTTTTGTTCCTGTCTGATTATAAGGAACAGAAGGTAAGACGACAGAAAATGGTAACAAGTGCACTAACAAGCATAATACAGGGTGGCGAAAAATTACGTGCGCCACGAAAATATCCTGACTTTATTTTTTGTTCATAAAAGAAAGACAACATTGTTGTGACTCTGCTTCCAGAGCACCAGAGCTTTCTTGAAGACCTCTTCATGATATATCTTCGCATTGATTTCCATGATTTTATCGATAAATTCATGAAGGGTTGCCCAAAGCACTCATACTCAGAGTCAACCCTGCGTTGCGCAGTTCTCAACGGCCACGTTGCGCAGTTTCGCCCGATTAGACACGTTCTCTCGCGCGAACATTCACACTCGCATGCTCGAGCCGTCTGCGTCTCCGCCCATACAGCGTGCGTTGAGGATCTCTCAACGTGCCGTTGCGAACTGCGCAACGCAGGGTTGACTCTGCTCATACTACTCCAAATCATCAAACTTTCAGCGAACGAGGTTCTCGCCGCTATTTCCAATTACAATGTTCCCAAGAGTTGAGCAAAAAAAGTTGATGGTGATTTAGGAGTTTTTAGCTGCTTGAATGGGAGAATTTTTCGTCAAACCAGACGACTCTCCAGCTCCGCCGCACCATCGACTCGATGTCGAAACTAATTCAGATCTATATCAAAACTGACGGCCACTTCGATACTTTTTTATAATTATTGAATGTTAGAGTTTGCTGTTTTATAAAATTAATTTCCTTCGAATTTTTATGGACAAAAATGAAGTTAGGACGTTTTTTATGGCGCACGTAATTTTTCGCCACCCTGAACACCTGTAACTATAGACAAATGGCGTGGAATGTATGTCCCAACAGGGGTGTTATCGTATTCCATTATTCCAGGGCTATAAGCTTCATTTCCTTATATTCCTCAACGCTTGAGTATCGAAATACACTAGCAGTCGACGACACATTGCGGGCTGTCGCGATTGGAGCAGGGCCTGGCAATCGCCGCGATCACAGCGTCGTACCTAATCTCTACTCGTTGCTTTGACGTTTTCGATCTTAAGGATTACATTCTCAGTGACTGTTGTTTCCCGAGCGTTTGCCATGCTGAATGTCATACAGGCTTAGCCGACATTTAGCGGTACCATCTCCTTTGCAGAGACTCCGGTAGGGTAAATCACGTTACCAGGAAATTTTGCTAATGATGCGACCTTTCCCCTCGCCTGATATCGGACCACAAAAGGCTTTCGTGACTAGCCTCATCTTCTGACGTCCTCCAAAGGCTCACCAAAGGAGCGTAGTTGAAACAAGAGAAAAAATCCGAAATTCTGAATTTTCACTAGTTTCTCAGGTGAACTCCTCGATATCTGATCGAGCTTATGCGCTTTTCAGAAGATTGTACTTGGTTGGATTTTCATTATTATACTTTCGTATTTGAAGTTCCCTCACTCCGCTCAGGCCTGAGACGACATCAATTACATGGTGATGCTAAAGTCACCTGCACTGATTATGAGCACCGTACCTCTTCTTCTCCAACGAATTCTGGTTCCCAGAATTACTACCGCTTTTTCCCTTCTTCAGCTCTTCACTTTTCACCAACATCTCTTCTTTTTCTGAAACACAAGTCAAGTTTCCCAAATGACCACTTTTCCAACCCTCGATACATGAAATATCTTACTTGGCAACGGTGCAGGTTCTTCTTTAATTCGCTTTGCTACTTTCTTTCTTAAACCTTCTCTACCTTTCGTTTTTACTCCCTTTTTACTTTTTTTCAAGGGAATCACTTTACGAATCTGTTTCGCTTTCGTTTTTCTCTTGAACGAACCGCTCTCATATATTAAACTCTGATCCTTCACTGGTGGCCAGTCAGCTTTCTTCTTTGCACTTCTATCACTTCCACTTTTTGACGACTCATGCGATTTCGCTTCCTGCTCAGACTTCACCTGGTCTGACAGTAACTCGGAGTTTTTAGAAATAGAAGGCTGAGTGATATCTTCGCAAATAGTCTCCTCTTCAAGAACAATGCCCTTTGACTTGCTTAAGGCTTTTCGTCGTGATAGAGAGCGTCCCAACGTGCCACCAACTTCCACAATTTTACCCTTTCCTTTCCTAAATAAACAATGTTATGCTATGGTCCTTACGCATATAGCAGGGTAACGCGCAATTCCACACTCGCTGCTTGCGGTACCCAGACCCTAAAACCCTATACTAAATAACACTAACCCTAAATTTCCCTAATTTCGGTAGATAAGCCCACGCCAATACGTAAAAACACCTCTGCTGGTGCAGTGCACTTGCATACATCTAGAGACAACCGTAACTTGCCCATAGGGGTAATTCGATATGCTGATTACGAAAACGACATTCATTTTCAGCGGTGGCGCCATCTTGTCACGACCCTTGTTTTCACCAAAATCGAAATGTAAACCAAATGTAAACTTCTGTCAGGGTTATTTGGTGCCCTGATTACGAATATGACATTCGTTTTTGGCATTAACGTTGTTCAACGCATATTTCTCGGTTGGAGAGCGCAGACGAGCAGAAAATAGGCGCCAAATAGCGCCAGCGCCGAGAATGAATGTCATATTCGTAATCAGGACACCAAATAACCCCTATACGGAAGTTTACACCAAATTTGGTGAAAACAGGTGTCGTGACAAGGTGACGCCAACTGGCGCCAGATGGCGCCACCGCTAAAATGAAGTCATTTTCGTATCAGGGCATCGAATTACCTCTATAGGCAAATTTACGGTAGTTTCTAAGGTGTACAAAATTACACTGCACGAGCGGAGGTGTTTTTACGTGAAATCGGCGCGGGCTTATCTACCGGAAATTAGGGTACTTGACATTTCGTCGTGCGAACTTTAACGTAACTTATGGTTAGGCACGGCAGATGCTCGCGGTGTGGCGAAGACACAGTGCACCGCTAGTTATGGAAAAACATTGGGGAACGGCAAGAAATGGAGGATGTAGATTGTGTAGAACGAGGTGACACTTTTTTTTGAAAGAGTTATAAGTCAGCAGGAACCGATGTCGAAGCTAGTATTATGCCTTCGACCCGTATACTGGTTATTAATCAGTCGATATTATTACCATATTATCATTATTATTATTAATTCTCATCCTACCGTATTCGACTGATCAAAACATCGAAGGATTGTTTGTTTACATTAATACTTTTGTTGTGCGCGAACCCGTATTGTCCATAAAGCAACCGAAGCGGATAGTAAATGTACCTATTATGCCAGGATATATCTTACATGCCGCTATGAAGCGATAATTCGAAAGATCAAGGAGAAAGTGGCTTTCAAAAAGTCCAGGAAGCGACAAAAAACATGGAAGCGATTTAACATTCAGTGCTCCGGCTAATTGGAGGAAGTGGTAGAAAGGGTGTCAGAGGTATTGCAGCGTCTAGGTTCTTCGTTGTCTTCTAAAAGAAAGTCGAACTTCGTGTTAACACTTTCAGAGTCTACGAGGCGTACTCCAGCCAGGAACCTTCTTTCATGTACGACTTACCATCCCTAAAGTAATTGGGAAGTGGTTGAGGAGGATCTATTGGTAGTAGGCGAAGCCTGCCACGCGATTTATATATTTTCCTTACGCGACCCAATACGTGAGACTTCCTCAAATGCTAACTATAAGGTTAGAAATGTTCATCTTCAATACGCGGTTAATAAGTGAATAAGAACGCATTACTACGAATAATCGGTAAGTTATTACGATCTCGTACGTTCCCGCTCTCCCTTATATGTGGGCATTTGGCGTGCGATCGTGGCGTTTTGATCTGCTCGCGCAGAAATAACAGTGAGACGGCTTGTCGTCAGTGGTTGCTTTTCATTGTGGATTCTTTAAGCCTGTGGTTGGGCCTAGGCTTGGTTCTAAGCTACTCCGAGCAAATGAATCATGTCTCTATTTTAGGTGAACTGACCTGAGGAGGAGTACTACACCGCACCCGGTTTTCTCGAGCGATTTTCACCCTAGTTCCAAAAAAACAGCCCCATCTGACGAAATGGGGTCGAATCTCGATTGCTGAGATTTTCTCAGCCCGGCGGCAGGATCACAATAACAGAAATGTGACCCGAAAACATCTTGCATGGCGCTGCGTAACGCAGGGTCAACACCGGCGTTTGCGCAGACTCTCGACCTATTGTTACGAACTCCCTCCCCTTCATAGGGTATTACGTACGACCCCGTACTAGCTATTGCCTTTTTGCATATTTTAGGGCCATTATAGGCGTCACCGACATGAAGAGGTGGTTGGGTAACTCGATGCGCTTTGTCTCGCTTAGAGGGAATCGAGTCGACAAGGAATTCTACTCATCTAAAGCATGCCCCAGGAATTACAATGAGATGTTATCTTGGCATAAGAGTGGGCCGGCAGTAAGAAAAAAGGAAAAGAATCCGTCAAAAACGCTCAGGTTAAGGGCTCACTCACCTTCCTAATCGGCTGTGCTAAGGGAATGAGAGACTAAGCGCGGAGAGGAGAGTATGAGGCGAGAGAGCGCTACAGATGAGAGAGCGCCAGACAACAGTCCTGATAAGAGAAAAAAAACTCTGCAGCTCCAGCAGCTGACTTTACAAGAATTGTGTCTTTAAATAGAAGCATTCTTCAAAATTTGCGTAAATCTAGACATGGTAGTAATCGCAGAGTTTCTACTTTGAGAATCCTACCAAGTTTCATTCGAACTCCATACCAATATATTGTTTTATGCCACTTAATAACTGATTTAATGTAGCAATTAGTTTGCGATACAAACCTCTTTCAAATTCGAATAAGTTATATTCTTTTCTCCAAGGTCAGTCTCAGAATGGAATACGAGAATTTAGAAACCTTGAAATGATTCATTTCCAAAAAGTTTGTAAACTTATGCAAATGTTCAATTCTTCAAAAAATCGTCCCGTTTTCCGTTTTTTGTGCACATGCGAGTTTTCATCATTCAAACGTTGATACCTTCCTTCATTATTAACTTTTTGCAGATCTCTAAGCTAGTTAGGAACTAGAAAATTGGCGCTTTCAAACGAAGAATCCGGACATTTTTTAAAGATCACTCTCTACAAAAAATAGTCCCGTTGTTCTATTTCCAGGGGTATGTGGTCCGATTTTTAAGAACGCGAACGAGTTTAGTCATTTAAACATTCATGACTATCCTTCATTGCTTAAATTTTTGCAGAATTTCAAAGCTAATTTTAAACTAGAAAATTGATGCTTCTGAAAAAATGTCAAGCTTTTTCTAAATGACCACTCTTTCAAAAAATCGTCCCGTTGTTAAAATTTTCCCTCACCATCAGTGGTTTTTTAGGACATATTAAAACGCCGAGTTTTTCAACGCATTGAAATGTTCGTAAAAATTCTCAAGAGTCGAGTACAGAGAAGAGCGTTTTATAAGCAATGATTGGAGCCGTGAGCGGTAGTCCGGTGGCGAGTTGGTAGCGTGTAAGAAGGAAATTGTTTCGCGATCGAATCCCACTCTGTTATCGAAGCTTTTTTCATTTTGAATTGTTACCTTCCAAATGAGCGCCCAAAATCACTTCAGTGACCATTTAAGCTATATTTAATAACCAAGACCACCAGCAACCCTGCAATGGGTTTACTATCAGAACTGGCGAGTGGCTGATCGCCATAGACTGACGCCAATTAACACGTTGACGCCCCGCGCCGAATTTCGGCTTTTGTCACACATGTGTGCATTGGCGGTATTGCGTGCGCGCATACTCGGCGATGCTTTAATCTCATATGTGGGGACATTTCGTGCGTTTCCATTACGGGACCCACATAGCAGATTTGTTGGAAGGGCGCGGGAGCTTTCGTTCCCATACCAATTATGAATTTTTAAGTTTTGCTTGTCACTACGGTTCATAGGTCCAATAAGTGTTTAGCTTGGTTTCGTACGTATTTCTGTGAGCTAGTAGACGTGTTGATTAGGAAAATTTTCCGATAACAGTTTGTTTTTGGTTGCCAAAGGAACTCGAAGTTTGGAGCGCAATTTGCATGAAAATTTCGTAATTGATGATAAGTTGTTCAGTAGGTAGGCGTATTAGAATCTGATTGTTTGTGTTGAAATTGAAGTTGTCGACATGCCACACGTTCTACGGATTCAATGAGACTAACAGAAGACAATTAGTCAAAGAAGTACTGAAAAAGGTTCATGGGGGAGCAAAATACAGATGTGCATACCCGGCGATGCACAAATGTCAGATGTGGGAGTTTTGGCGTGCATACCCGGCGATGCACGCGGGCTGCAATGTGTTAAAAGAACATAGCCTTCGCAACTGGACCGCCGATTTGCACCGCCATATAAGCAAACTTTGACGACGGAATTTTGACACTGTCTTCGATAAGGTGACCATGGCCACGTGCAGCTGCGGGCGACATGGACACGAGAGCTGCGCGCACATCATGCGGAACACCTTGATGACTCACGGAATCCAAAGCTAAGTTTTATAGGGAGCGTCTACCACGACGTCTGTCCTTGAAATAGCTCCAGGTATATGAGATCGTACGAGTGGAAGAGCCGAGGACCCAATATACCAAGTATTGATGAAAGGAAGAATTTGTCGAATTCATCTCATGCGGGTGCTGTTTCCCATTGGCTGCCTGCCACTATCTATTCTGTAGTGGAATTTCTTATTATTGGAGGAGGATTACGAGGAAACTCATTTTCCAATCGCTGGCTGGAGTACCCCATGGACTACCGACCTGTCGATGGCCAATTTTTCGGAACTGGCTCAAATCTCAATTTTTTCTAAAACTTCTACTTTGAAGGAATATCCAATGCTCTGATCACGAATATGACATCCGTTTTTCCAGACGGCTCCAGTTTACGCCACTTCGGCACCATTTGGCACCCTTCTGGTTTGCAACTTTTTTCCGCCATATTCCAGTTAAAATCTGAGTTTACTGGTGGTCCTGACTATACATGATACCTAATTTTTGCTGGTGGTATTTTGAGAGAATTTGGAAGCTCCAACTGAAATGCAAAAATTTTGTCCTCAGGGAGGATTGATCCCTGGACCACTTCCTCACCACATTTTGGCCTTCATTCAGCGAAACGGACCTTGGTTCTGTAGTCCACGCATGAAATCCTATAGCATGCAAAAAACCGTTTTGAAAAAGCCGCCTTGCTCTGAACGACCTCCCTTGTTAGAGAGATACAACACCGAACGTTGACGAGCCTGCCTCTCCGGCAGTCGTGCTCTTCTACAATTTGTTCGCTATTTGTAAGATTGATTTCCTTTAAATTTTTATGGGTGAAAAAATACCTTTTTAAATGGCACACGTAATTTTTCGCCATCCTGCATATACTTAATTTTGTGTAAATTTCAACGTACTTGAAACTGCTTGATGCATCTATTTTCGTAATCTTTTTCAGCCGTTTACTGCTACTTCCCTCCTTTTCGCTTTCGTCCTTCACTTTCTTACGTCTTGAACTGGTTGGTTTCTCTTCCTTCTTCACTGACTTCTTTGATTTCTCTTCCTTTTTCATTGCCTTCTTTGACTTTCTCTTCCTTTTTCGTTGACTTCTTTGACTTCTCTTCCTTTTTCGCTGACTTCTTTGATTTTTCAGCGCTTCCTTTTTGACTTTCCTCCTTCTTTTTTAAGCTCTTCACACTTGCGCGCTTGGATTTTTGTTTCTCCGATTTCACGCTTTCTGTTATACTAGCACCATCCTTTTCAGATTTCTTTTTCTTCCTCAGATGGAGTCTGTAACACATTTCTCACTCACCACGCTACCACAGCACTTGATTTTCTGACTCACTTTGACAATATCTTCTTACTCGATTTTTTCGAAAGATTTTCCCTGAAAACAGGTTCATGATTTCAATTCTGAGCTGGATTGCAATGTGGCTGAATGTCTTATTAATCAGACGTATTTCTAAATACTATACAGTCATAGCTCACCTCACAGACTCTTTGCTTCATCTCCTTTGAGTTTCTTTATTAAGAGACACTGTAATACACGACATTTGGATCTAACAAGGTACAGCACGAAAAGCATAAAAGCATTTACCGTTGATCAATCCCTTGTGGGATGCGGCACGCATTCTACTCCATTTGTGCATTCATAGTGAAACGTGAATGCGATTCGGCCTACACAATGACTTGCCGGCTCTAGCCTATGTATTAGGTTGTCTCATAAACAGTGTCGCTTTTTTTCATCCAAAAAATTTTCATCTAAACCTCCATGCTTTTACATCGTGTTGTGTAC